ATATATATTAAATTAATAAAGGGAAGTCTACGTTAGGAATGACAATGAAACACGGTGTGATGAGTATGAATTTCCATATTCTCATCTCTATTCGCGCATCCTATATTCATCATTGTCTCTATTCTTGTTGGATATAAAATTTGCATCTTCATTCTTGTTCTTGTTCATTATGAATGTACATGTACCCATCTCATGCCTGCTAAAAATTCAATTATATATATTTTTTGTAAAAACATATAAAAATAAATAAAATTTTCAACATAGCGTAACAATTAAAAAATTATATTAATTAAATTTTATTTGAAATAAATTTAAAATAGAGTAAAAGTTATATAAATGTTAAGTAAATTCTAAAAAAAAAAATTAAGTTTTAAAAATTCAAAGTGGATATGAATATGAATATGAAGCAGGTATGCATATACTCATCTCCATCTCATATCTGTGTTCAATCAAATCATGTATTTTTTATCAAAGTCGGGGCGAATTCAGACATATCAACGAGTATGAGTTTACTTGTCATCCTAGTTTACACTATTTGTGTGTAAATGCATAATTAATTTCAATATTTAAGTCAATTTTAAATTGGATAAAATGGAATATGCAAAATTTTCCAAAATTTTTAAAAAGTTATATTTATATTTTAAAATAATTTTACTTGACAATTTGCACATAGGACACATTTAATTTGAAAATCAAAATATAACTATTATTTAAAGAAATAATATGTTATAATTAAGTGATTAATTCAATAAGTTTATTTGTATTTAGGTGCATCAAATTTTATAATAAATAAAGTAGTACTTTCAATTATAGATTCAAGTCCAAATTAGATATTGAAGCTCGATTTTTTATTAAAAAATAAAAAAACAGAATCAGTTGTGGTAAGGTTTGAAAATGCTTATACAATATTTTTATTAAAACAAGATCGAGCAAAGCAATGTGTAGGGTCTCTTCTCCATAAGCTTATTAATAAGTTGGACAAAATGGATGCCACTTCTTGTTCCTGGGCCCTGGCCCATATATTTAATATAGCATTCTTAAGTCTTAACTACCCCCATTCATATGTTTTTGTGGCACCTCTCTGTTATTTCTTTTGGTAGGGTGGCCACTAATATAATTAAGAACCCATTCTGTATTCTTATTTCAATATGAATTTAATAAGATTTATCCCTTTTCTTCTGCATTTATTATTCTTTATGTTTATCTAGACTTATTTGAGATTTTTTACCATAAAATTTATTGAAATGAATTAAAAGAATCTGCAGAAGCGTCGTAGTCCTTTCACAACTTTAATCAAATATATACATATAATTTTTAATATTGTAACTACTTATATGATGATATTTTCATGTAACTACTAGTATGTTGACAAGTCCAGATGATATAAACCGAAGATTCAATTATTGAATCACTAATATTATATATGTATATAGTCAATGTTCTCGATTCAATAATTAAATTATAGTTATATATTATTTTAAATATTTATATTTAATTTTGATATAAATAATAATAATAAGCAGTGTTTTAAAACCCGGACCGACCCGGCCGGTCGGACTGGTTGGAC